GAAACTGTGCATAAGCGGTGTCGTAGATCGTTATCACTCTGATAAAATATACAAAAGTAAATAGAAGAAATAATTCGTGTTGGGTTTCGAGTTTATACAAATTGAAATAAAATCAATTTATATTGTTTACAATACCAAACATGATAATGCACATACGAAGTAATATAATCTAACTAAAACATATTTATTTCAAAGCACAAACAGTAAACTCTACAGGGAATTATTAAGTGTCGCTCGTGTTTACAAATAGTGGACACGTGCCGAAAGGATTGGGCCATACGCCATATAATGGATGCACAGTTATATAAATTGGAAATGTCCTGTATTTTTTATTGATAAGTAAGTGTGAAAATTATGAAGCCATTGGTATAGATAGAACTTTAGATATATCCAATTTGCCGATTTAGTTTAACAATTATTCTTGTGTTTCATAGGCCAATATCTTGGTAAATATGGAAGCCATAGTTATGTAACCTGTCCAGATTATGTACATTTTATTGATTAGTAAGTGTGAAAACTATAAAGCGATTTGTACAGGTAAAGCTTAAGAACAATCAAACTTGCCGTTCTAGGTTTAAATCGTACGGACGGACAGACGGACGGTTCAATTTCTATATGACCAGGGGCATAAACATCATAAAAACTAGATGCGTTTTGATATTTGACCTTGAAGTCTATGTCGTTGCTAAATAAAGTTCAACGTTAGTCTGGTTTTCTTGGAGGCCTTGTCCCTACGGTTGTTGTGGCCATGTATAAAGACAATGCACCAATAACTTAAAAACTTATGATCAAGATACAAGTATGCGGACGGGAACAGCAACGTAAACGGCTACAGGAACGGCCACCGCAAAGCTAACATGACTGTAACAATGCCTTTATTGTTTTTAAAATCGAGCTAAAAACGGGACAAAGCTTATGTACTGTAACCTATTGTTCCCCTTATCACACAAGAACCTCTGTTTTTTGTACAGATTGAAAGACAGACATATTTGTTTTAACCACTGATCTATTAAGCATTTATCCTTTTTGTGTAAGATGACTTTAAAATGTAACTTTTAAGAGCAAAGTAAAATTATACATTAATCTCACTTATTGTTATTCTTTTTACAAATGGACGGTTAAAGGGAGACACAGGCAAAAATTTCATTTCTTTATTTTAATTTTTTCATTATTTAATCTGTTAATGTCCTCAAATAAATACACCAGACACATGTCCTGGAACAAAACTTTACTATTTATATGAAATAAAATGCTTGTTTCCTAACTTAGTTTAGAGCTTAAAGATTTCACAAGAGTTGTCACAGTGAACTCTGGAAACGTTATCAAAATCATTCTTTCATTCATGGTGGGGATGATGCATCGCAAGTATATATAAGAGGTCTCGCAGTGTTGAGTGTTTAGGTTTGGTTTTGGCTCCGTACGGTTAGGATCGAAGTTGTAATTACACCTCAGATAGCTGGTGCTAAAATACTTCATTGCTACAGTAAAACCTCTTAAGTAAATGTTTGATATGGAATAGTTTATTTCGAAGATAGTATTTTAAGGATATACATTTGAACGTTGATTATGAGGGTATAGTATTAAGATAAGGGTTTTTTGTTTTAAATTTTTGAAGTGAGAAATATGTGATAGGTTTAAGAATATAAGTTATTGTTTGAAAATATGTTGTTTAATTGTTTCTGAAAATATATAATTCGGATAATTTAGGAATAAGTTTTAAGATTCTTATTTTTTTATTTTCTTATTTCTAGAAGTTTTATTAAGTTGATAATAAAACGTTTAAGAATCCACAAGAAAAAATAGTATTGAAATCTTTCAAATCAATTCGGATCAGCATCCCAAATAAAAAATATATATATTATTTAATGATATCAAAATTTTATTTTGTAGCACTAAATAAATAGTCATCTGATCTGTACACGTTATATCTGTTATTGTAATTTCAAGGGTTTGTTCAAGTCACATGACTTGTTTAAAAACTACTCGGTGATTCTGTCAATATATATATATAACTTAATATAAGCCGTTTTGAAAAAAATTCATATTTCAACATCTATAATAATACTTATTATAGATGTTGAAATATGATTTTTTTTTTCAAAACGGCCTATATTAAGTTTTTGTGATATATATGATCAGTACATGTGCTGGGATTGACAAATATACATTTTATTTGGATTTTAAAGGCTTTTTGAGCTCCAAACCCCAAGTGTCTGTGGCTCTAAATGGGTACATGGAAGTGTTCCGTTATGGAAAAGAAAATATGACCAATATATGACCTGAAACTGAAAGAAAGCTATCATTGTTGGAGGGTAGCTGGAATAAAATATATATTATCATATAAATGTAACAATTCTGACATTTAATGCCCCTGTGACCTTGACATTTGACCCCAAAATCAATAAGGGTCATAATCTCGCCAATCAATATTTGAAATATGAAGAGTTTGTGATAAATAGTTTTTAAGATAATGAGCCAAAACCATTCTGACATTTAATGCACCTGTGACCTTGACCTTTCACCTTGTAACCACAAAGTCAATAGGGTTCATATACTAGTAATGACCAATTTGTATGTGAAATATGAATACTTTGTGATATATTGTTTTTAAGATAACCAGCGGAAACCTTTCTGACATTTAATGCACCTGTGACATTGACTTTTCACGTAGTAACCCCAAAATCAAAAGGCATCATTAACTCGTTATGACTAATTAGTATGTGAAACATGAAGACTTCGTGATGAATAGTATTCTGGATAATCAGCGGAAACCATTCTTACATACAGCGCCTCTGTGACCTTAACCTTTGACCTAGTTATCCAGACATCAGTAGGGGTCATTTTCTAGTTACGACCGATCAGTAAGTGAAATATGAAATTTTGTGATGAAAAGTTTTCTATATAATCAGCGGAAAAACATTCTGACATTGAAGGTCCCTGTGACCTTGACCTAGTAGCCCCCAAATCAATAAGGGGTCATTTACTAGTTATGACCTATCACTATACGAAATATGAAGACTTTGTGATTAATAGCTTTCATGATAATCAGCGGAAACCATTCTAACATTTAAGGACACTGTGACCTTGACTTTCTACATAATGACCCCAAAATCAATAGGAGTCATCTACTATATATGACCAATCAGTATGTGGTATATAGAGACATTGTTATTAATAGTCAGCGGAAACTATTCTTATATCTAAGGTCACTGTGACTTTGACCTTTGACTAAGTGACCCATATGGGTGATCTACTAGTTATCCCCAATCAGAATGTGAAATACAAAAAGACTTTGTGATATATAGTTTTCAAGATTATTAGCGGAAACAATGTGGTCTACAGACAGACATACAGACAGACCGACCGACACACCCACCGACCGACCGACACACCGACCGACATAAGCAAAACAATATACCCCCTCTTCTTCGAAGGGGGGCATACAAATACTCATGATCAACAATTATGTCGTATCAGAATTACAAAATGTCTATTACGATGTTGTCACTTAGAGTACAATATGACTTTGATATGAATGTTTTTGACACAGAAACTGACAACGAGGCTTGTGGTATATATAATGGATTTGAAATAGATTATAATTTTGGGGGATAAAAGCGATGCAAGATGGCGTAAAATATGCATTGATACAGACTTCTGGACTCAGGAAAAGAACATGAGAATAATAAGATTGGATCAAATAATGAATTGATGATATTAGAACATCATATGGTGCAAAACTGAGGTTTCAATGGTTATATTTTGTAAGGGGTGAAGTACAAAGGAATACGTAAAGTACAGTAGAACTTCGGTAAGTCGAAGTTGAAGGGACTTGCGTAAAAACTTCGACTCATGAATCGCTCTCAATTCCATGACAAAATTTAGACCCGTGACTAGTCCTAATTATAAGCTCTATAACGAAACATATTTCATGTTTTTCCATCAATTATCTTATCTGTAAATTTTACAATGATAAATATAGCATGTCAAATTACGTTTTTCACGACTTCCCAAAGAGTTACAAAAGGCGTATGATTACGAAAGGGCGATAACTAAACCAGCTTATAGTAAATATTTCGCGTGTTATTCTCACGCGACACCGGGTCAAGGATGTTTTCAAATGAAAGTAGTGAAGTATTTCTTACTGTTTACTTTCAAATACCACTACGGCAATTAAAAAAGTTACGATTAAAGCATTTTATCACACATTTTATCGCAAACAAAGGCTGTTTGAACACACGGCTGTGTTATTAACACCTATTACACAAGTTGATTGGAAATCGTCTTCGCAGCCAGATAAGGTGTGAAAAATGTCTCGAGGTCAAAGGTGTCAAAACAATCCAACGACTTCGACTTATTTGTGGTAAATTGCACTAGATTTACTTTATACGGACCACGAAAAAACCTCGACACATCAAAAAATTCGACACATAAAATTTCGACTCATAAATAGGTTTTTATAAGGAATATATAGGGGGGAAAGTCGGGACTTTCATTTTTATTCGACACATCGAGAAAATCGACTAATCGAAGTTCGACTCATAGAAGTTCTACTGTAATATATGTCACAGGGTGAGAAAAATGTGCAGCCTGACCGGGACTCGAACCCGGGACCCTCAGAATACCGTTCCGCGGCTCTACCGACTGAGCTATCCGGCCGCTTACACATCTTCTCCCCTAAATAGTGAACAGTTCTGAACCGTGAAATACTCCCCTGCCATATTGAAATTCGTCCCCGAATTTCACAGAGTTACAGAGCAATGTAAATTAAACTCTGAGCTATATCAGTCACGGTCCCATGTTGGGCGCCAAATGTCACAGGGTGAGAAAATGTGCAGCCTGACCGGGAATCGAACCCGGGACCCTCGGAACACCGTTCCGCGGCTCTACCGACTGAGCTATCCGGCCGCTTACACATCTTCTCCCCTAAATAGTGAACAGTTCTGAACCGTGACATATATATAGAAAACAAATGAAGTTATGTGATTAATATCACTTACTTTGTTGAGAAACAATATATTCTTCTACTTTCTCGTCTTTTTTTGCTATTTTCATTTCTTTTTGTAACATCTCTCCTAATCCAGCCAGGTCTGCTCGTTCTTTTTCTCCTTGTTCATGAAGTTTCACACCTGCTTTGTCCAGTTCTTCATGCAGTCTTTTAACAGAAGCATCAGCTTCATCTTTTAATTGTGACTGCAGAGATAGAAGATCTTGTTTTCTTTTTATCATATCTAGTTTAATTCTGTCATATTGCTCGTCTAATCCAGCCTTTATCTTGTCTTGAATTGCCTTTGCCACATCGTCTAGTACTTTTCTTACATCATCTTTACCAATCACTAAAGTGTCACTTTCTAACTGTAATTATAAATACAATATAAATATACAATATAAAATTTTAAAAAAGGTAAATAAATAAAAAAATACAAAATAAATAAACAATAAATGAATAAATACATAAATAAAATGAACCAATAATAAAACAAATAAAAAATAAAAAATTTGGTAGTGGTAGTGGAAGTGGTGGTGGTAGTAGTAGTAGGACTTAGTAGTAGTAGTAGTAGTTTAAGTAAATTAGAGGTAGTAGAATTAAGTAACAGTAGAAAGAAGCGGTAGTAATTGTAGTAGTAGTGTTTGTAAGTAGCAGTAGTAAGTAGTAGTTGTTTTTGTAGTAGTGGTAAATTGTTGTAGTAGTTGTAATAGTAGTAAGTAGCAGCAGTAAGTAGCAGTAGTAAGTTATAGTTGTAATTGTAGAAATAGTAGTGGTCAGAAGAAGTCGTAGTGGTAGTAGTAAGTTGAAGAATAAGAAGTTTAAGCAGAAGAATGAGTAGTAGTAGTAGTAGTAGTAGTAGTAGTAGTAGTAGTAGTAGTGGTAGTGGTGGTAGTGGTGGTGGTGGTGGTAACTACGGTAGTGGTAGTTGTGGTGGTAGTAGTGGTGGTAGTAGTGGTAGTGGTGGAGGTGGTAGTGGTGGTAGTAGTGGTAGTAGCGGTAGTAGTGGTAGTAGTAGTAGTGGTGGTGGTAGTAGTGGTGGTAGTGGTAGTTAGTAGTAGTAGTAGTGGTAGTAGTAGTAGTAGTAGTAGTAGTAGTAGTAGTGGTAGTAGTGGTAGTAGTGGCAGTAGTAGTGGTAGTAGTAGCGGTAGTAGTGGTAGTAGTAGTGGTAGTAGTGGTAGTAGTAGCAGAAGTAGTAGAAGTGGTAGTAGTGATGGTAGTGGTGGTAATGGTTGTTGTATTGGTTAGAGTGGTAGTGGTAGTAGTAGTGGTGGTGGTAGAGGTAGTGGTAGGGGTGGTGGTAGTAGTAGCGGTGGTGGTGGTGGTGGTGGAAGCGGTAGCGGTAGCAGTAGCAGTAACAAGAGCTGTCGGTAGGACAGCAACGCTCGACTTTTCTTAGTGCTTGATAGTCAAAAAAAGCCTTGATTAAAAGGTAAAATTTTCTCAGTAAAGAAAAAGGCAAAAAATTTCTTTAAATCCATATTACAGTTATAGGCATTGAAGAGAGTCCTATTATGCTCTCAAAGAGGAGTATAAAATTTCAACATGTTTCCCAGCCTTATGTCAATGAACTTTGAAAATATTTGAGGTATTACAAAAACTTAAACGTTAATTCTAAGTCGAAAAAGGGGCATAATTCTGTCTAAATGCTTGATAGAGTTACCTCCTCCTGTTAACAGGTTGGGGTCATGATGGTCAACAAGTACATGCAAAGTTTTAAGGCCATATGTCAATGCATTTTGAGGTATTACAAAAACTTTAACGTAAATTCTAAGTCGAAAAAGGGGCATAATTCTGTTGATAGAGTTACCTTCTCCTGTCTACAGGTTGGGGTCATGATGGTGAACAAGTGTGCAAAGTTTCAAAGCCATATGTCAATGGACTTTGAATATATTTGAGGTATTACAAAAACTTTAACATAAGTGGTTACGCCGACGCCGACGAAGACGCCGACGCTCGGGTGACTACAATAGCTCTACTTATTCTTATCGAATAGTGGAGCTAAAAAGGGTAAGTAGCAGAAGTAAGTAGCAGTTGTAATTGATGTAGTAAGAATAAGTAGTAAGTAGTAATAGCAGAAGTATAGATGTTTACCTCTGTCAGTTTCTTTTTAGCATTCTGTGCATGCGTGTCTGTAGCTAAATATACTTTATCAGAAAGTAGATTCTGTAATAGTTTGAAGTAGTTTTGAAGATCTGTATCCTCTATTTCAAGTGTTGAAGAATGTCGCACTTTTCTTCCAATTTCTCTTGCCTGGTCAAAATTGAATAACAATTTTTATTTACTTTTACCTAAAACCTATAGGTTGAGTATAAAATATATACGTTTACTGTGTAAAAAACTGTTACGTTATACATGTAGTAAAATAATACTTACTAGGACTTGTATAAATAATGAATTACAAACACGATAAGAGCTGTGTTGAGCTTAAATGTCATAGCTAGAGGTGTGGTCTGCTAGGGGTGTGGTCTGCTAGGGGAGTGGTTTGATAGAGGAGTGGTCTGCTAGAGGAGTGGTCTGCTTGTTGCATTTACCACTGCCGTCTGCGAAGGGTCGTTGTCATATTTCCCCGGGAGTATTAATAATGCTGTAGTGTTACGTACCAGTACCCCTCTTTAATACAATTATGATATCAAAATCGATATAAAAATTGTTTCAAAAATGGACACTTCGTGAAAAATTACTGAGGAATGTAGGAGTGCATGCTTACAAAGAACTATATAACAAAAAAGACAAAATGCAATGGGCCACAATTTACCTAAAATAATTGATATGCACAAAGGCTCGGATGAATTTGGTTTAATCCCCATTACAAGATAAGAAGTTGATGTCTACTGAAGATCATTTCTCTATATTCAGCAGATAAATTTGGGGTTAAAATTCATTATTCCGCCCTGTATATTTTCTTATCACGAAACCAATTCAAAATGTATCTTCACACTTGGTGGTAATACTTCTGTACACTTGGTGGTAATACTTCTGTTAAATAAAGTTTGAAATTTCTAAGAAAGTAAAAAAATCTTTAAAAATACAGACGTTGCAAGCAGAATAAATTCTTTATACTCGCCTACAAATCCTTCTTACCGACATTCCCCTATGTAACAATGTGCTTTATTTTCAGAAAGCATAACAACTAAGTGTATTATATATATCATACAATACTGTTGTATCTTACTTTAGATCACTGAAATATACAATTGTTGGTTTTTTTGGTAACTAAGGACCAAACGTAAGCCTTCATAAATAGTATCTAAATAGTGTTTACCTCCTCAAACATATTCGTCTTATTGTTGAGGTTCTCATGTATTTTCCCCTGGAAGCCTTTGTAATTGAGAATAACGCTGATTATACCATTGAAGTCTGTTTCTGCTGCAGAAGTTTTATCTTTATACCCATCTGGAGGCATGAAGCATTTCGCCACTTCCCAGAAACTACTACAACACTGTGAAGCATCGGTGTTTTTGTACGATGGACCAGAGTACCTATGCGCATTCTGTATCTCGGTTGTGAAATTATGACATATCTTGTTCGGGCAGCCGACAGGATTATACCTTGTTGCAGCATTTCGATGATAACTGCATTGTCCACGTCTAACTTTACATATTCTATTTGTTGGACATTTAATAACATTTTCCGTACAGCAATTCGAACACACAGTCCCACTAAATAGTCCATTGCTGTAACATATATCATCTAAGCATTTCAATTGGAATTGTTTGATTTCATTGCAAACAAAAGGTTCAATACCTTCTTTAGTAATCAACACTGCTAATTGAGATTTAACCCAGTTATTGTATTTCTTTTCTAAAAGTTTAGGGCTATAAGAAGCCATGACTTGCAAACTTTGTGTCTTCCAACTTAAAGAATTATATACACTGGCATGTCTTGTAAGCTAAGCTCCGAGATTAACCTGAAAAAAATAATTATGTAAAATGCTAAAGTATATAATTACACTTCAAGAGGGATCTTTCACTATCATTTAAAGGTGTAATGCAATACAATTTAATTTAGATATGTATTCAGGTATTTGATATACATCATGTACTATAATTATAGTAAATAAATGTAATTGTTTTGATACTCTTTAAGATGACAGTGCTTGTTAAAAAGAAATAAAAATGCAGTTATTCAATGTCTGAAAATATAGGCAGATATATCAAACTTTGAATTTTAAATTAATAATAACAGAAGGAATACTGAAATGCACATAGCTTGATATAATTAACGTTAATCTTATTTCCCTGTTTTCTGTAGCTTCAAAACACATTATTTACTAGTATAATTACATTTTAAGCGCTTATTATAACTTTTTAACGAGTTCTGTGTTATTAATCTGATTTGATCAAAGTATTGTCCAACAATATTGACCTGGCACTTCATTAATTTCCGTAAAGGTCAGGTGATAAACAGTGGTATCTAACGAATATATCGATATCTTTATTAACTTCACACGTCAATGAGTTGTGGTGTATTGGTATAGATGCCTGACTACTGATCTGAAGTTCCCTGGTTCGATACCTTACCAACACCATGTTATGAGGACATACATTTTTTTAATTTCATTTTGAAATTAACTTGCAAGAATTAATTTGAAATCGTTTTACTACATCTTGTTTTTAGGGTACCTTTTAAGTAGTGTTTATATACAATTTTATTTTTATTTCATTACATTATCTTTAATTAATAAAAAGGACAGCACGTCCATAATACAAATTAAAAGTCATACACAACCAAAACTCAAAATGTTTTGCACGAGTTAAGAGAGAAATAGCAATTTTAAAATAAGAAAAAGATATAAAAGTGGCCGAACCAGGATTCGAACCTACGAGTGTGCGTCTATATTCTTGAAGTGAAAGCACTTTACGACTGTGCTAAGAGGGATTTGTAATAAATATCATTTAACAACTGGTTATATACATTTATCTCGATTTACAATAGATAGCAACGTTTACGGAATTTACCGACTATGGGGTCAAATGCAAGAGTGCCAGGTCAATGTTGTTGGACAATAGTCTTATCAGATATGTTTTCACTAGTATAGGTTATAGGCTAGAGCTCGTATTCATCAATATTGACAAATTGGGGTGCCGATAATTCTTATATAAAATTGTACTATTTATAGCCTAAATCTTTAACACTTATTATTTTGCGATTAGCATAATAGCGAAGTGATGATTGAGTGTTCGCTCTTGAGTGTACAGCCCCAGCCCTTGGTTCGAATTCGGTTTAAGGCATTTTTTTCTTTTAGTTTTTTTTAACGAACTGAATTTTTGATCCCCAAGAATCATATTCAGACAATGATATTTTAGAACATATACAGCCCCAGCCCCTGGTTCGAATTCTGTTTAAGGCATTTTTTTTCTTTTAGTTTTTTTTGTTTTGTTGTTGTTTTTTGCTTGTTTTTTCTTTTTTTTTTAACGAACTGAAGGTTTGGTCCCCTAGAATCATATTCAGACAATGATATTTTTTTGAACATGTAGTTATACACACATTCGCATTCAACATGTTACGTATAAGACAAGGCAGCACAGTTGCGATTAGGGTGAAAAATGAACAATGGAAGAAAACATATAATATTAATTAATGAGCCGACTTAATGAGCGTTTCAAACAGAATAAAATCGATAATGCTATTCAATCTGTTCAATGACAGTTACAAATAAGGTACATCAAATTTTGCTTAACCGTCATAAGTTTAACTCTAAAAATGTGTTCTGAAAGTAAACATGTGCATGTGTTGAAGATTTGAACTCGAACTCGAAAAACCATGTTTCATTATAACCCGAGTTCTTCATTATCTGAACTCTCTTACCAATACTCTACTCGGATTTACGTGTCTACATCCAAATTTATTCTTCTAGTTTGCAATAAAAATTCAAAATGTAATAACTGGAGAACTTAAACCAGCCATTATATCATAATGGTACGAACGATCAATGTACACCAATCGAGTTCGGCTTACAGGCAAGTCAATAATGACGTCAATAAAGGTATCATATTTCACAATATATGTAATAGAAAGAGCATCGAAGCACGAGGCTATCTGATTTGTACGAGGGGCGTAGCCCCCTAGTATTAATCAGATTGCCGAGTGTTTTGATGTTCTTTCTCTTTTGTATCATAGTCAAACATAAATACACGTTCCCTGTTGTCCCAATATGAAACCCCAGAAAAAAGTAACCAATGAACGAGCAACTAAATATGATATTTCTATCGCTTTCTGTTTCTCTGCCGTCACAATAAGTAAACCCCAGCAAAAATGAGCCAATCAATGGGGATGCTCTGAAAATACGGGTAAACTAAATTTTACACCTAAATTTCCGGGGGCCAAATGGTTTGGGAAGGGTCAACCCGAATTGATGGCAGATAGCTGAAATTTACCACTCGGAACAGGTAGGTTATTAATTTGGTTGGAATAATTATATTACACAAATACGGCCCATTTCATGTTATGAAACTATTGTCCATTCACTGGAGATACTATTAGGTAATTTTGGACTCGTTTTTCCTGTTTTAGACTATTTTGAGCAGGTTAAAAGTGACAGCTTCGAAAAAATCCGTGAAAATGTCTGTTTTTTGTTCAAAATATCTCTAGTTTTAACCAAATGGCAGGATTTTGTGTTATTAATATAGACGTTCATCCATTGGGGTCACGCAAGTCAAATATCTACCCAGTGAGTCTTTTCTTGAAAGTTTTACAGACGTTCAATCTGGTCCGGTCGAAGAAAAAAATGCTGCCGTTGTAGGCAGATACTTTTTTAAATGCTGCCGTCGATGGCAGAAATACCACGAAAGTGGCTAACACACTGACAGAAAATCAAGGTCAATCTTTTATCAATTCCTCTATTCCTTGCGTCCTTTTAGTCGGAATTGAGACGTTAAACTTTCATTTCTAATATGTTCTCAAGAAAGAAAAGTTATTAATGCGGTATGTGCATCAAGAAAGCTTTTTAGCAACACGCAGTTACAATACAAAATGTGATGATTTAGTACGACCAAATTGCACTATAAATAGAGCAATAACATGAAGAAATTCATTTTTCTATATTCATGCATATGAGCTTGATCTGTTGTGTCTGTCAGTTACATGCATACAATACCATATATATCTTAAGTTTAGCAGGGTGCCGATAATTCTTGTATAAAAGCACATTATTTATCGCCTAAATCTTTTACCACCTGATAAATCTCTTATTAGCATAATAGCGTAATGCTCTGATTATTAACAAAGTCACGTCCCTTTTATAAAATTATCTCATTAAAAAACTGTTTTATTCATTCGGAACTGCCTCGGCTATTACCTATAATAACCTCGGAAACAATACGGATTGAAAGTAGTTCTACTACGTGGTTTCAGATGTAAACAGAAACAGAGATAATGTAAAACGAACGTATATACTTGACATCTAATGTCTGTTCCGGTACTATTTTGCTTGAAAATATGTCTGACAACAATTTGTAATTTCAATATGCCCACTGACGTTCAATTTTAAACAAATCTGACCAAATGTCAACAGGTTGGTTTTTTGTACTTTCGTTTTCTACAACCATAATAATATATATATAAATAATGTATTGTTTGCTTTTGTACCTATGAATTCACTTATTTTAGATGGACTTTTACTACATTTTACTTCTATATTGGAAATAAACTTGTCAACAACTCCCAGCATTAAATTACTAATTGTTTACATGATTAGTTTCTTAGTGTAGGTTAGACCGAAATACCGCATCCGTTCTGTGTATTCATAGTATTGTGTTCGAGGTCCTTATCAGAAGACTGACGGAAAGGGCCGAGTAGTTGCGATTGCTGTTTTATTTAGACTGTATACTACTTATATAAAGTTTTATTTAGTTTTTGGAACATATTAATACATACGTAAAAGGGAAGGGAGTTCAATTTTGTATGGTAACCACAATGTTTGTAGAGAAGGTTATTAATAGATATATAAGGTTACGGGGTTACTGACTATTCAAGCAACGTTAACACAAATTTTACAAGTGTTCAATAGTTTTAACAATTTATAAAGTGGTTCTGTTCTGTGACCAGCGTGTGATAATTATGCGGCTGCGTAATAAGGGCACGGTTATTGGTAGTTCCGTGATTATCACATGCACGACTTTATAATTAATCAGTTTTATCCGAATGATAAATATTTTCTTCTAAAACTAGCTCTGCGTTTAATGGTAAACATTTTTTAGAATACTACTTTTTGAACAATTTGATTTATTACCACGCTTCGTTATAATCACACGTTTGGGAGTAGTGCCGTGATCATCTGACGTACGGTCTTATATACACTCCAAATAACACGAAATATATACCAGTTCATTCCAAAAAGAATTCCGCATCTGATTGTGAGAATGCAGATTGCTATGTTTTCCCAAAACGCGGGAATGTATTAAAAAGTATTTTCATATGAGTCACATACGTTTGTGTTTTTTTTATTTTTTCTGGTAGATATTTTATAAATAAAAAAGCCACCAGACGTTAAACGATATTTGATTTAGTGCAGTTTGATAAAGTGCTCAATATTATATTCTAAATCCAAGCACTGCAAGCACTGAGGTATACATTGCTTCACTATGTTGACATTACGGTCTCTGTTTGTGTCATCAAAACCATGTTGATTTTGGCTGACCTAAAAATCAATAGAGGTCATTTTCTGGCTACGGTCAATGTCCCTAATAAGTTACACAAACCTAGGCTTATTTCTTTTCAAGTTATTAATGGGACAAGGAAAAAGTTTCGTTCCTACAGACTAGGGCTGTATTTTGTCCGGCAATTAAGATACTTGATGGTTAAGCAATATAGAAATCAGTTTGTGAAACACCTGTCTATTATCTACAGTAAACAATACTGAAATATTTAAATGGAGTCTTCAGAGTTATTTCTTTTACTATATATAAA